TTAATAAATATAAAATATGTACCTTATTAATTATTTTTTGAGAGAGAATAATTGAAATACCATTGTTATTAATTGTTATTAATTGTTATTAATTGTTATAATTAATATCGTTGTTATTTTGAGAGAATAATTGAAATACCGTTGTTATTAATTGATTTAAAAAAAAAGAAAACATTTGTATGAAATGATTAACGAGATAAAAATATATTATTATAATACTCACGTCACGAGCTAACGTCGACGAATCTTCGGCATGATGTCTGAGAACCTTGTTCGACCTTAATCTCGTTTTCAATGCATAATGCGTGGCTACGGCAGTTACAAATCTGCTTTTCAACAAAAGCGTCCGAACTGCTTCGAGTTCGGCTTCCACGCTTGGACCCGAAATACCTAAAGCTCCGGAAATATTTCGTAATTGAAGTTGCAATTTTTCCAACGTGGCAACGACCTCACCGTATGCTGAAATATTTAAATACTATACTAGACACAGTACTACGAAATCATATCTTTTCCTCCTTTTTTTTTTATTTTTTTTATTTTTTTTTTTCGTATTATACCTTAAACAGAATATTTAATCTAAAGAAAGACGACTCTTTTCTACAAAAAGAATTCTTTAAATTACGACGTGAATAAAGGTTTGAATTTTTTAAGAAGAAAAGAAAAAAAGGGTTGACTGACTGACTGACGTTAGATTAAAACTACGAACGAAACTCGAATACCTTAACACTTTAAATATTTTTCTATAGTATTGTAACGTCAAAAAATTCAATCATAAAAATAAAATAAGGCTTAATGCATTATTATGTGTCAGTTAGTTTCATGTTAGATAGAAAAATAACATGTTTTAATCATTTCATTATTATCAAAGTAGATTATAGAAAAAATACATGTGAGTGGGTTGAAAAATTTTTGAACTAAACACGAGATTTTTATTTTTATGCTTTAAAAAAAAACAATTTGGAGAAAAATCAATGTTTCAATATTTACTAACAAAAAAATAAAATTAATCTCATTTATATTTATTATAATTTAATAAATTTGTTTCTTTTGACAACTGGGCAAGTACGAACAACGAAGAAAGGAAATAAAAGAACAAAAAAATATACTTACTTAAGGGTGCTGAAGGTGTGACAGGAGCAGGACGACTAACAGCGGTTGCTAATTCGTCTTGAGCATAAGCAAGATTTTCTTGACCGGTAAGATTCGTGGCATGACTTTCTAAAGCTTTAAGTTTCGTTGAACCACGTAACGATCGATTCAAAATTTCTTGCCTCTCCTCTTCGTCCTTTCGTTTTCTCAATTGTTCCTAAAAAACATAATCGAAATAATTAATAAACCAATCGTAAATCCATTGTTTTTTCTTTTTATTTATTCATAAAGTGTTTCAACAATATTTTATTTAACTCGACCGATTGTTATTGTGTTCACGTTTATATATATAAAATTTTTAATATTTAAATTAAGAAAATATAGTAGATAAAAAAATATAGTAGAAACTAGAGCTGTCACCGCGCCATGCCCGTTGACGAAAATATAATATATAATTTTTTCTAAATAGTAATATATCTTTCAAGATATAAAGAGATTAAATATGTTGTCTTTAGTTTTTTGAAAAAAAAAAAAGAAGTCAGAACTATCAGAATTCGGTTCTTGTCTCATAAACATTTTTTTTATTTAAAAAAGAACAAATTATATTGAAATATTATTTAAATAAAATTGGAAGCAGGGTTGTCAGAAATATATTTAAACATAATTTATCGTAATTTTGATTATAACTCAAATTTAACAAACAAAATATAAAAATATACGATCGATTACCAAATATAAAATCAAATGATATTTTTCATAAATATTTTTTAATCGTTTTTTTTTTTTTTAAACATTTAAAATACCATTAAGAAAAAATAAAACACTAGAGAGAGTGTTATCTATTTATAAATAATCAAAAAAATCTTAGAATTAATACGAACCATTTGTAATCACGTAAATTTCGATAATTTATTTTCAACAACCTATTTAATAAACCTGACATATTTTTTTTCATAAAATTCTTTTTACGTATTACTTAGATTGACGTTTAATTCAAGCGTAGGTGGTATGTATTTGCAGTTAATAACCTATGCACTTTAGGAATTTTAACGAGAAGAAGCATAGATAAAAACGGTTTGATTAAAGCCCCCATTACCGAAACCTCGTTTTAAAGTTTAAACAAAGAAAGCAAAAGTTAATAATAAATAAGAATAAAATAAAAATGAACGATTGAATAAAAGACATTTTTTATTTTTCATTTTTAATCTACCGATGAAAAATATGAGAAACACGTAAAATATATTTGAAAAATAATTCATTTGATGGAACATCAAAATTTGTTTTTACATTTACATATAAAGGTACTATAAATATTATAAATAAATAAAATGAATATCTATTAAAATAAGTAACATTTCACACAGGTCAACAATAATTTTAAAATCTATTCGAAAATAATAATAATTATTTAGAATTATTATCACGTATAAAACGTCAGTAAGGTGATTCAGTATGTTTGTGAAGAGTAGAATATTCACACCTGTGATATTCTCACGATACATAAAGGGTGTATTATCAATGTTATAAAACATATGTTCCATGGTGTTTTACTTGGGGAGAGAAATCAACCCTGACAAAACTCCCCCCCAAAAAAAAACACACCAACGTAACCGTGACAAAACCTGAGGGGGAAAAACCTGTTAAAAATATTGTGAATAAATTTTTAAATTTCCATAGCTCGGATTCTGTAAATTGACCATAAGATATATACAATATGGAAATATTGAAATAGTGATTAATACTTATATTCTTTTTTTTTTTTTTTTTCTTTATAGAAACAGTAGAAACAGTTAATTTCTTGTATGTGAAAAGCTTTCTACACGATACACTTACAATTAGAGTATATAATTGGTATTTCGCACGAGATTAAGTCAAAGAATCTATTACACGTTATATTAAATGCAACACATTACTATGGAAATATTTGCGATTATATACACGTAAGATATTATATCGTATACGGGTGTTGTAATACTGTAGAATAAATATGTTGGTTCTAACATTTTGCCGGAAATATTATAGAAATATTTTATAAACTCGATGTTATTAAATTTATAATATTACGATTATTACAAATTTCTATGCGATTAATAGAATTTATATTATAAACGTTTTAAGGACGCGAATATAAGTATATAATTTTTCTAAAAACCTCTTTATGTAAACGTTATAATATATAATTTACAAGTTACATTATTTTGATCGATATTTATTTCTCAATTATTATTTTATTTAATTATCAGAAAATATATATTTATAATATTAATGATACGATAGA